ACTGATGGAGTAGCTGGTGCAGAGGCAGTAAATCCGGTGGGTGAAGTTGTAACATTCCTGACAACAGTGGGGATAGCTCTGGCGGTAGCAGGAGCAACATTTGAAATGGGGGCGGTAGTGACCTACACCTTATTCAAGGAAGGGAAGTCCTAGGAACAGTGCAGGTTAAATTCAGAAGACAACTCCAGAACCTTGGGGGCAGCTATCTTCACTATCACATACATTGCCTTTTCAAGTAGCACCTCAAACTCATTGAAACCGGACCAAAACTGGATTGTTGATGCCATGTGGTCGGTAGGCATGTTAAATAGGAAAGTCGGGCTCAGTGACAACATTCTCCCTCCCAGTTGAAAAGCTCCGAACGTCAGTGAAATCACACGTTTTATCTTCGGGCGTCACAAGTAAGAAAATTGACAAAATTTTCTTAACAACCGGGCGTCACATTTTGATGTATTTATGTTTTAGTGTTGTGTTAATTTGACAATATTTGTTTTGCTTAGAATTTTGTTAAGGGGAATTATTATGATAATGGATTTAAATTCAATTTGTTATAAACAAGTCAAAACCAAAGAATAATGAAGTATAGGACCCGATCTACGGTTTAGAGAGGGATCAAATTCATACTGAACTTGCCTCGATAGATCGTTTCTACTCCACCACACCTAATAGGGGTCCAACCCACACTAAATATTTAAAGATTTCAGAACCTCGCTGTTTAAAGGTGATTAAACAGAAGGTTCTAGAATAAAAAAAAGAGTTAACTATACCTGCTCAAGGAAGAAATTACCGAAGTACATCAATGAAAGAATGGTAGATTGGCCACCAGGAACATGGACACACCATCGATGTATAAAGATAAAAGTTTCTGATCAAAATGGAGAGAAGAACTAGAATCCCCAGTGGAGTCCCCAGAAATTGTCGACCACCTCTTTATGTTTATGTTGTTTTCAATTTTGAAAATAATGTTTAATTTAATATACATATAATTTTGATTTTTTGAAAGTAGTATTTTGATTTTGAAAAAGAGATGAAAAAACCTCACACATTTAATAGTTTAGATAATTGAACATCGCACCACAAACAACACACCTATCCCAAGGAATAAGCACGTTTCTTGTTAGCGAGGCTCGATTACATAAAATAAAGAATTGATGACATTCGTTTGGTTTGTAAATATTTTTTTATATGTTGACCAACAAGTTCACATATCTTATATAAGAATTAGATAGAGTTTATATTACCTGAGTTATTTAGTTCTCTATAAAGGCGAGTCTCTATAGTTAATTCATCATAAGCGACCGAAGTCACATAAGAAAATTCTCAATAATGATCAGAAGTATTTGTATTCAAGATTGCAAAGTTTAGTTTTCAAGGTTGGACATAGGTAAAATCAAATGGGAGTGTATCAAATAGAAGCAATTACTTTAGGAATCCAAAGGAACGAGAAGTAGGAGATGTCATAAATCTCGAGGAGAACCTCGGTGACTTTCCCAAATTACCCTATGGTTTGGCTTCAGGTTTGAATATGATATTATTTGATATTTCATCCTGTCATTTTTATTACTTAGGGCTTACATCTGCACGATATTTGTTCATGCAAATAACTTGAAAGACAAGAGGATTTATGGCATACCAAATGACGACCTCAGAATCCTAAAAGAGTTAGGACTTATATTGTAGCATATGATCATACAAAAAACCCAAAGATAAGGTGAAAATTTATGTTGCTATAGGCAGAAATTTCAAAATCTTATGGCTTGTTGTTTAAATTATGAAAGGTTTAGCTGATGAAGACCTCGTTTGTTCTCTCGAAGATATTCTTCTCTGTGTCGTGGCCTCATCATGCTGCCCTCAAAGCCTGCTCCAAGCTCCTTGCTGTAGCGGTAGCACCAAGGTTTGCAATTTATTTTTATTTTGGAGAGATGTTTAATTTAAGTTAAGCAAAACCGGTCAAGATGCCACAGTTCCGTTGTCTAGGAATCACTATTTTCCTTTGAGTTTACTTAGTTTAAACAATTTGTTAAGCTCATTTAAACCAGAGGATTCTTGTTAGCAACCGTTAGTTACCTCATCTAAAAATTCCTCGTAAACCCAAAAAAGGTGGATTAAGTGCGTTCAAGAAGTTTAAAAGTGTGTTAATATTTTTGCAAGTGTATTTTGTTGGTTTTGTTTTACAAATAAATTGTACATGGTAAAGTAAAGAGATAATAATGTAAAATAGTAACGACCGCAACAAACAAACTGTAAGTACGTACCCGGGTCTTTGCTGCCGCTGCATGGTTAGTATCATAAAGTTTAATATAGTTGCAGGGAATATAAGTAAATTGCCAGAAAAGAAAGCAATTAAAAGCAAGAAAGTATAGTACGAAAAGGTCAAAAAGCAAATTGTAGGAAAATACGATCAAGTAAAATCAAACCCGTAGTCACATATGAAAGTCCTGGGCATGGTGTAAGAATTTAGTAAAGGTGGGGGCTCAGAGCTGGGTTGTGTGCTTTATTATTCCAACTTTGATAAAAGCTACCAACTCGACAGTCCCTTACCTCGATCCAAGTATTTACCCGTGGACCTTTATAAGTTTTCACCAAAATTCTTTAATTTTCTTATACATTTATAATTTAGCATGGTAAGCAAAAGTAATAATGTCACAAAAAGAATTGTGGTTATCTTATAGTGTTTTTCTAGTAAAATAACATAGTACACAAACAAATTACTCTAATAAGGCTAGAACTATCGACAACCTAAGAGTGTTAGAGGCAACTCTCACTAAAGCTGGTTAATGGTATCATCGTTTCTATCCTCTCTCCTTATTGAGGATCGTTGAGATAGAAGATACTATTCAAAATTCTATTTCGTATCCCTCGTTTAGCACACCTAAGCAATGTCGTCATTGCCCTTGCCACCTGGACCTTTGACTTACACTAGTCCAATGATCCATATCTGGCAAAATATCCATAATTGCTCACAGGGATTTAAATACCTTATCCAAGACTCAAATCCTCGAGCATTGAGTTATAAATGTAGGATAAGTAGCAGAGGGTATTTTATTGGAATGGTGAGTTAAAGGGTCCCGAATAAAATCTTGGTGGTTCCTTAAGATTTTGAGGATGATTTTCTTCAAAAAGCATAATAGATCCACATGTCCATTAAAATATCCAAAGGATTGCAAAAGTGTTCGGGACATGACCTTAATATCTTTTAAATCCTTTGAATCATTTCGAGTTCGTTTGGATTTATCATCTTATTGAATTAATCATCCTTAATTAAATTAGGATTTAGTTATGGTCTTTTAACTTATGTTTAATGAAATTTAATGTTTTAATTATCCCATGAGTATGATAACTAGATATTCATTTGATGTTTCATTTAAGAATTATGTGGGTGAACGCCCTTAAGGGCTGCAAGCTAAGTTGTTAAGAAATTTTCACCCCTTCAATTGAAGTTGAGCTTGTAGTATTTTAATGATGTTTATACTTGATTCTGCTTTCTTTTCTAAATCTCATTAAGTGATTTTATATCAAGTCTAGTTGAGTACTAAGCTTTTAAGTCTTCAAGGGTAGATTTGTAGTTTTGAAAAAAAATGTTAAATGAGATGAACTTAACCCTTATTAGAAGACTGTATTATCATTTAGCCATTGATTTAAGGCTTCAAATTAATGAGTTATCATCTTCCTAGATCAAGCCCTTTACCTTAGGATCATCTAACCTACTTAACTTCCAATATACCTCAATTTAGAAAATTACACTTATACCATTTTTATACAAAATAACATGGATTGGTTTCTACTCTTTAGCCCTTATATTTCAATCATTTCATAGAGTTAATTATGATCAATATTACTCATTTACTCTTTGGTTTTGCCTAAGTTTTAATTAGAGTTCAAAATTCCATAACAACCATTTTGCCCTTAAGGCTTTCCCCTTCATAAGTCTCTCAATTTAACTCATATGGCTTTGAAACTTTGATGTTACCCAACTCACGAGTTAACTAAAATATTAGAAGAAAATTTATGTTTTTTTGATTTTTATTTAATTTTTAATAATTATTTTAATCCAAAAATAAGAATTTTCAAGGGTAATTAATTTTACTAAGTAAAACAAACTTTGTAACCTTAAGGGAATTATTGAAGTTCACTTAAGTTAGAGGACTACTAGGAATAATTTTTGTACATTTTGAATTATGTTTAATTTTTACAAATTTTTGATTGATTTTAATGAATAAATAAATAGAAAATATATTTTTATCTCAAAAATTCATTTTTTATATTTTTAAATCTAAATTTTATTTTTTTAAATCGAAATTTTATTTTTCTTAAGGTTCTCTCACCACAGTGAACCTACCAAACATGATTTAATATTTTTTCAAATTTTTATTTTATTTTTTGTCAGCAAAAGTGGGTTCAGCTGAAAGAATACTCGTCACAATACTATTGGAATAAATGCTAATCTACATCCAAACCCTGGATGTACACTTTTTTTGTCATATAGATAGGGTATTGCATGCAAACAATAAAATTCTTGTATATTTATAGTTTCAATATCTAGATTTTTTATTTATTATACAATTTTGTAAAATTTAAATTGTAAAAATTCACTAAAATTAAGCTTTTTCAAATAAAAATACACTTTTTTCTTTCATGCTTGCTATAATATTAAACATCAAATTATTTCATATAAACCACATATGATATTATATATGTAAGTATAAATATTTATGTATTGATATACATATAATTAATATTTTTACTCACAAAAAAAGGAAAATTTATCTATATGCCACAAAAATTCTATGTATTTACATGGCCACCCCCTAAATTTTACTTTTACTTTTATATCATTTTATTTATGTATGAAAATGTATATTTTCATATCTTTTAAATCAATGAAGTAGATGTTTTTCAATGTCATATGAAAGATTACTGTTTAAATATTAAATAAGTAAACACATAAGAATTGTGTGGAGTTAAATCTGTGCTCCAACTGCTCTGAACTCTCGCCCAAAAAATGTCTCCTTTGTTCAGTTGCGAGATCTCTCCAAAGGTCCGCCCCTTCTCTCTCTCCCTCCGCTCTCTCTCTTTTGTCTGTTTGATTTGCTAACTATTACTTCTACTTTCTTAAAAATGGCTATTTGCTTAGCCCTCAAAATGTCTCCTTTGTTCAGTTGCGAGATCTCTCCAAAGGCCCGCCCCTTCTCTCTCTCCCGCCGCTCTCTCTCTTTTGTCTGTTTGATTTGCTAACTATTACTTCAACTTTCTTAAAAATGGCTATTTGCTTATAATCCTGTTTCACGCCATACTTTTGATTTCTTCTTGGCACTGGAGGATGGAGTTTTCGAAGTAAATATAACAGATTTGAGAGTTTAGCTTTCAAAGGTTAACTTGCAAATAATCTTTGAACTTCTCTTCTTCAGCATTGTTCTTTATTTTTATCATTCTGGTTTCTGATTTTTCTCTTTTGGCTTTCTTTCTATTTAAGAGCATAAAACTGTAGTCCGTGTGACTCTACTAACCATGCTAAACCGTAATATGAACCTCCTTGACTACTGTATTTTGAGTTCAACTAAAGCCTCTTTGATTGCTACTTTTGCTTAGGGTTCAATTTTGTGCAAATCTGTTCACCGTGTGACCCCAATTGGGTTAGAGCAGCAATCCGTTTTGGCTTGCAGAAGCTTGAACACGAAATTTCTTGGCCAAAGATTCATTACAAAAGCTTGTAAGATCAGAGTTCAATGGGCCTTTTTAAGTGGATCAATGGCTGTGCCTTCAAAAGCCAATCAAAGAAATGTCAACAATTCGAAAAAACTTATTGTTTCAGCTTCTTGTAAGAATAATGCCATACACTTAAATAATTCTGCCTGTGGATTATATTAGGGAGTATAGCATTAATCAGTAATTCTTTTTCTGATCTTCTTATGTTTATGGCTTGTTGTTATAAAAGCGTTATTTTATCTTACAATGGAAAACACTTTGTTTTTGAATTACAGTTCTATATTTTCTTGACTTAATGGATATTTGGATAATATTAGATTTTAGTAAATCCTGAGCTTAAATCTTGAAAATTATTAGGCCTTATAAATGCTAAATCTTATTAAATTCTAGTAAATTATTTGGCAAATATTTTCAAGATTTGGGATTTAAATGAATGAGATAATAATGCACAATGAGGAGAATTGTGTAAATCATGTAAATCTTGCTTTCCCTAGTATATATTACATCTAATATTTGTTCTAAAACGAAAGGAAAATATGATTTCCGAAGGTTGTTGGATTTATGTGACTAAAAAATTTTCCTGGCAAGATTTTTCTTGAAACTTGGTTATGTATTGCAACCAAATAGCCACTAAAGGTTTCCATAATGCAAAAAAATCTATATTTATCTTATAATGAAGGTAAATGATCAATTTACCATTTCTATGAGGGTCGACACTTGTAGTTAGCCAAGTACTTACACATACATATAATGCCTTTATTGGGTTATATCTTGGGGCAAAAAGTGCAGTGCTTTCTTTTCTTATACATTATATAAACCTCTTGTTTATAATTCACATATATTATCATGGACAACGATGTGCCTTTTAAGGAATGAACTAAGCATTTCTTTTTAAACCCTTGGATTTGTGAAGCATTTAGAAACAGAGCCTAATGTCACGACAAATAGTCCCACATCGGTTAGGTGTAGGGCCGAAAAACAATATTTAAGTCTTGGGCTGCCCGCCTCTCTTAAGGGCTCTTTTGGGAGGTGACAAGTGGTATCAGAGCAGATTACTGCCTGCCAGGTGTGTGGACTCTCCATGGTCCCGTGGGACCCTCGGTGGAGCCGATCCGTGACGAGGGCGTCACGTGATTGGGTGGAGGAGAATGTCACGGACAAATAGTCCCACATCGGCTAGGTGTA